GGGATACCTCAAACAGCAGGTGTGTGCTACCCCTGCACAAACACTGCAGGACCTTCAACGAAGTATCACAGATGTTTGTGCAAACGTGTCACCCGCTATGTTGCAACATGAAGTTCTAACAAGGGTGGGTCCAAATGCGCATTTCAGCTGATGGAGAGAAGTTTGAACATCAGAAATAAAGTAGCTTGTGATAACTAGTCGTTTTTTTCTTTCTAAGATCGTTTCGTCACGTCACAGTATAGGAAATCTCGAACAAACAAATGCGCGTTTAAAACATTCTATCCTTAACATTCATGTCCACGAGAGGTCTTTTCGTACTAAATTGACGATACTTTACAACTTTGTAATTCACGTTTTCTTCCCATCTCGTGCCGTTTTCGAGATAGGGACGGTAACTCAGCCGTTTTCCACCAGGTGGCGCTGTAAGCTGTCTCATGTAGTAGCTTATGGCCACTTTACTGTACCTAGACACCACTTTTATAGCTGTAGCCGTTCGGCAGTTAAACGGTTGGTACTGGACTAATAGGTACTTTGTATATGTATGAGTGTGTGTTGGGAAATTTGCATTCCCCATTGCTGCTGCGCACTGCTGAAGAAGTAATAAGTTCAACACTAATCGTGCAGTAGAATCCAAGAAATGTTTGTAGACTGTGTGCCCTCCCGACGTAGGGTGTGTGTCATCCTGGTTATCGACGTGGTTAGTAGCCATTATTCTCTCCAGAGTGCTGCGGCAATGTGATGCATGGAATCCTAATATGCAATATAGCTGTCGATGACTAAAATGGAAAGAGAAATCTGTCAGGGTATCCCGAACAATATTTATATGAAGAATGGCATGGAATTGTTGTAGCCAGGTACCTGCCGACATACCAGTCAAGTTAATCACCTGTTATTGATCATGTTATGTTTTTCCTGACATGTCATAGGTTGACATATCCTGTATATCTGTTTTTGTAAAGCTTAAAGAAAGCACCCATTAAAATTTATGTCTTACTTATATGAAGTATCGTTCTTTGTTATAGACAACCTGTTTTCTACTACGTATAACTCTCAACTCTACATAAAACCAACTCTCTCTTTCTACATATATGTACACTCGTACGGCCGAATTGAACATAATTTTTATTGCTGGACAAAAAACTGATTATCAAAACATGTTCTTCTTCACACATCATTATTGGCGCATTATGCACTCCACAGTTTTATATAAAGCTTATCACATTTTAGATCACGGAGTAGTTAGCGGCAAAAGAAACCAAAAAGCAGCCAAGAAGAGCGAAATGCGCGGCAAAGACCTTTTAATACCAGATTACATTGCGTATCACATATCAGATTAATATTCGGTTGATGATGGGTTAAGATTTCATCGATAAGTGCGCAGTATTTATCTAGAAAGGTAGATAGGCGAGTAGTTGATGATGTGGTAGATGAATTCATAAAGAAGCAGACTTGCAGACGTGGTCGAATTCAATTATTTACTTTTTATCCATGGGTGACACATATTTTCATTAAGTCAGCACAAGGAATATGGGCGTTTTAACATCTGTTTTTAAAGAATTTTCACTTCGATACGGATAAGCTTGAGAAATATACTTTTGAAGACAGCAAGCAATAGCAGCTTGCAAGACCGAAGCAGAAGCAAAAAGGTGACGCATTCAGAAGTGTGGGAATGAGATTCGTTTCGAACCTTAATAGAAATGTTATTGAGTGACTGGATAAACGGTTGCAGCGTTACGTAAGATCTTATGATGCAGATTAATTTTGAAATGATATAGTTTAGATTAATATATTAGAGATAGTTGCTATTTTTAGGACAGTAAGGGGAAATGTCCAAGATGAAGAATGAAAGGGGCTTCTGCATTTAAAATTAGAAATTTGTTTTACATATTTTTATCTTACATATATCCTTTCATTTTAATTTAAATGGAAATTAATGACATTTATACATTTTTTCCCCAATAGGTTTTTATGATATAGAATACATTCGACAGTTGCGAAAAATAAAATAAAAAAAAAGGTAATAAAAAGTAAAAATATATAATGAATGAAATTTATCCTCATATATATATATATATATATATATATATATATATATTCAGTAGCTTATCTCACAGAATAAACTGGACAGTTGTGTAAAACTTGAGGGGGGAGATTTTTAAATAAAGGGAAATAAAGCTTACATTTTTCCTTAGCATAATAATGTATACTGGACATCCGGGGCAAATTAAAAAAAAAAATTCAATTTTGATTGAAAATGAGTAAAGGTTACATTTCCCTTCAATAGTTTATTTTTATATAGAATAAACTGAATGGTTTCACGTGGGGGAGGAAGACGGAATCCGATTTGCAACTGATATGAACAAAATTTTTATATATATTCCTAATAGCTTATTTTCATACATAAGAAACCGCACACTCCTTAGAAATAAGAAGCAAAATCCGATTTTAAACAGAAATGAATGAATTTGTTTAATAGCTTATTATCTAAAATAAACTAAACCACTACAAAAAATTTCACAAAATAAATCCAATTTTAAATTAAAAGGAATAAAATTTATCTATTTATTCCAGTAGCTAATTATTATATTTGTTCTTAATTTCTATTAAAATTATATCTGTTCTTCTTTTAACCCTTTGAAGGGCACCGGTATATAATATATACCGGTTGTTTGTCAATTTTTTAACCTCCGAAAAAATGCTAACTTTTCTACACCAAAAGCTATAATCGTAAGTGTCTAGTATTTTCTTTCGATTCTAAATGGCAACATCACTCTATGAATGCTCAATATTTTACAGTTATGAAATTAATTTACGTCGTTCCAAGGTATCATGTTGGAAGATTGATAAATTCTATTGGAGGGAAAGAAAAAATTCAAAATCTGCAAATATATGACGTACACATGCTGAATCTTACATATTTACTTCATTTCAGTCAGAAGTGATAATTAACAGCAAATTATTTATACGATTTTAAAACCGGTATATAATATATACCGGCGCCCACACTGAGGGTACCGCGCCAATAGATGGCAGCACCAGTCTTCTCCTTTTCTATTCTGTGACGTGACAGAATTTCTTTATTATTATAACAGTTTATGATGTAATAATATTTCATGATTAACTTATAAGTCGTTTAGGATTAAATATTATGTTCATGGAGGAATGGGGAGTTTTCTGACTGCGCTAGGACTGAATACAAGTATATTAGTTTCATTTATTCTTTGTGTACTCAGCTCAAGTTTCATTCGTCTGTGTTTAGCTAAAATTTTTATTTCAGCACTTATCTCTTTCCAAAGAGAAAGACTCATCGATTTCAAAATTCCCGTCTGGGGTCAAAACTTCACACAATTGTAGGGTTTAAACGTGGCATGCTAGCCCCCAAAAGACACCTGTTGCTTCCTGTTTTCCAAAATCCTAGAATGTAAGAAAATGAAAAGAGATGATTGACAACCAATTTGTCTTTCGGGAGCCAGGCCTTCTTCCCTTTGTGAAGTGTGATAAGATCACACAAAGGGAAAGCTCACTTAAAATGGAAATGTACTTAAGGTCCATCTCATAGTGTAATCACAAAAACTGCTGATTTGAAAGCATGCTTTTATTCTTTAGGGAAATTCTTTTTAATTCTTTGTTAATTTCAGATGAAAGACTAGAGAACACAAGAGAAATTTGCGCTCTGGTTGATACAAATAGGTTGTTTCACAAATAAATTTTTCACAGTTGGTGAAAGGAGGAAAAATATTTCTAAGCCCCGTTTTAGATGCAAACTAAAATTTATCCAAAAGTTGAAAAGGATCCCCTATGAAGCCAAAGGGGTTGAAAATCAGAATAAGAGCTTTGAGGTGTATCAAATAATAAATTTGTTTAACGGTGTTTCTTCCTGAACAAAAAGATATATTACAACCTATATTTACAAAAAATAAAAAAGGGACACTTACGGTCCTCCGTGATCTAAAGTGTGTGTGCGTGAAGGGGGGCAATTCTTCGTATCATAGTATGAAGCATGGTTTTTTTCACATATTATCTAAAGCATAAAATACAACTTCAAAAATGCAACATAATTTCTCAGCTGAGTCGGTCGTAGTGCTTCATTTTTCAATTTTTTTAAATTTTCGGCTGAGTTACATCTGCTTGTAATATTATACTAGTTCAGTTACAGCATGATACGATTTACACAAGCAGTGTTATATTTGCTAATTTTTTTTATAAAATAATATTGAATTTAAATCAAGTTGAAGAGCTTTTTACCCATAAGTATGTTCAGCTGGGTTGCATCATCAAAGTGCATAAAAACATAAATTTTATTTTTAAAATTTTAAATTTCTGCCGAAATTTAAGAAAATTTTGTCTTTAGACTTACATAACTATATTCAAGCACTCATCACTACAGACGCACATCAAAAGTACCCAAAATTAATTTAAAAAACAAAGATTAACAGTTGGCAACTACCTGGAAAAAAAATGTCCTAGAGGGGCGCCGGTATAAAATATATACCGGCTCTCAAAATTCCGGATTTCGCTCTAGAATTTTTTTAAGTCTCAATTTTGTGTCCTTAGGGTCCATAAGTTATAGTTCATGCAAAATTTTACCACAATTTAAATTATTTTATATACCGCCCCTCAAAGGGGTAAAGGCAGCACCCATGTCTTCTCTTAAAAATTACGTTATTAAAGAACTCTTCAGAATACATGTAATTAATAATCAATAAAATAAACAGGAACATATTGTTGTTCATGCATAAAAAATTAAAACTGCAGCCTCAAAAACTGGAATTCATATTAAGTAAATGTAAAAACATATCGCTAAAATCATATTTCTGCTACCGGATTTTCTCCGAATTCACCAATGCAGTTAAAACTCGACTGACAGTAAAAGCTAACGAGATAGCGTCTGATGAAAAGCGTTTACCTATTGCCTCCGAGCGGAATGGGTTGATCAAGAGTGCGACCTCATCTAAAACGGGGTCGAATCACGTGGCTGATGACGACACCAAACGAAGTGAGGCTGGAATTTTCTTCATCGAAACACATCTTTTTCTTTCGATTTGATGATTTAAAAAAGAACGCCGATGATTGGAAGAGTGTGTCCCAAGGTCATCAGCTGATACTCTTCGTGTAAAAGTTTTTCTTTTTTGACTCGGAAAGTGTTTTAAAAATCACGAAACAAGTGGTTTTTCTCAGTGTTTATGCAGTGGTTACTTTTGTCGTCTGTTCCGTTTTCATTTGACATCCAATGGATTCATGTCTTCTCCATGCCGATTCGCCTGTAGTGGTCGTCGATCGAAGACGAGCTAGCTGGTAAGTAGTATTGTTTTTGTTATTAAACCTCGATTCAAATGCATGGCCCCCTCCCCTTTTAATCGCTTGATATGAATTTTGCCCTTTGGAGTGGAAGGGGGAAAATTTGCAAAGAACACAACGGTGTATTTTTCCGTTATTTCTGATTCGTTGCACAAATATTTGTAGAATGCCATTTGACAGTAATCTCTATTATTAAACAACGAATAATTTGTATGCATGCGTGTGCTTCGCATTGTGAGAAAACGGCGGCAGCAGTTTCTGAGAACACGCGTAGTTTTTCACCGTAACATATGTATCTCGAAGCCTCGGATTTTGAATTTGATTTTTTAATTTGTTTCATATATTGTGAGACACCAGTATGTTGCCATTCAGCAAAGTATACCATTCTTAGCTTTCAAATTTTATCTGTTAGGAGTTGTTAACAAATTAAGCGATTTGAAATCAATAAACCCAGTTTTATATATATTTAAGTTTTTTAATTTGATTGATGTCTTGCTGCTAGCTGGAGTCGTGGTAATAGTTTTTTGGATATAATTCAGTATTTATTACTTTTTGTCCAACTGATTTATCCTATAGTCTGGGGTAATATCACTGCAAGCTTCTTTTTTTTTTAATTGTTCTTTGAGAAATCTTTACCAGGTTTCGTTCTGTCTATAGGTTGGGGGAGGGAGGAAAATGAATTTTGCTAGAGAAATAGTAATTTTAAAATAATTATCTATCATGTTAAAGGAATTGCACAGTCCTGTATCCATTACGGCTCACTGTATAATTTCTGATAAAATTTTTTTATTATTACTCCGCCATTAGCCACTACAACGAAAAAGGGAGCGATGCCTCGTGGAGCACTTTTTAAGTAAAATTGGCTGGTATCGATATTGCTCACATGGAGAAAACAATGAAAACGGCTGTGCAGCTATCCCGTGTGCTGAGACTTAAACACTGGACCGAGATACCAGTGCTCAGCGGCTTTACCATTCGGCGGCGGTTGGCTTCTATTGCATTTAAAAATTAGAAACTTTGGACTGGAAGAATTGATTAAATTAGTGTTATAAAAAAAAGCAATACTTTTCGTTTATTTTTTTAAATCATTATATATTTTTGTGAAATTATACTACTTGAACCCAATGAAATTAGACTAACCGTACTTTTAAAATCATTATTATTCCATATTTCTTATTTTAAAAGAAACGTTTTGCCACTCGGCAAAGCGTAAGATATTTCTCTTTTAAAATAACAAAAAACTCGGTGATTTAAAAGAAATATGTTACCACTGATGGATATAAAATATTTTTATCTTTCACGGTTCAGTTTTTTTTTTTTTTTTTTTTTTTTTTCCCATTCCGTGAAGTGTAAGATATTTTTCTTTCAAATTTAATCTGCATATTATCAATAAACTAAAAGATTTAAAACAAATCAACGCAGTTCTTTATCTTTATTATTATTATTATTATTAATTATTAGCTCAACCTGTGGAATTACCCTAACTGGACTCATTGAAATCATTATATATTTTTCTTTTTTATAACAACTGTTTTAGGCAGCGAGAGACTTAAATTTCAAATCAAGAACACTAGCGAAAATCATTTTGACTAATAGATCGAGTAGAATCCATAATGATTGCTAAGCACTTAGAAATAGTTTTTATTGAATTACTTTTGCTTCCGTATTAAGAAAGCATGGGCAAACAGCAGTCATCAACCATAGGCCATAGAAGTGTGACAACCGACGAAAGATTTGCCGACAAAGTGAGACTTCTGAGATACATAAAATTAGTCTCTTAGGCAATACAAATGTTTTAAGAACTGTCAGGGTTTGATTTTAAACGGAGAAAACGAGGCGTATGCACCAGTCATTTACTTCAAGAGGCCTTCTGGTAAGCTTCAAATCTAAGAATTTAAATACCCAAAATAGTTACTACTTAGATTACTGACATTCCATGATTAGCTAATTTATTTTAGCGCAAAAATATGTAATAATTTTTTTTCTTATTTAAAAAATTTTAAGGATTTTGATTTTTTAATAGAGATTTTAGGACAGAATAATCTAATAAAAATTAAATTTCTACATAAAATAGTATTATGTAAAATAAAAACAAATTGGAAAATTTGACTTTATATTTATTTTCATTTTCAGCTGTATTTTTGCATTCGAATATTTAGCTTGCTGAAGCACTTCTTTATTTGAATATTTAATTACTGAGATATAAACCAGGAAAAAAAATGTAAAACTGCTATTTTTTTTTAAATTTAAAATTTGACATTGTTAAATTATGATTTATAATAAGCGAGATAATAATTTAAACAATTCCAAAATTAATATTTGACATCATAAATATCATGCAATTCAGGAAAAAAATTTTTTTTTGCTTTCGCATTTCAAAAGAAACTGAATTTTTAATACATTTTATTTATATACTTATCTTGAATTGAAAATCAATTTAATTGTATCAATTCGGTTGCATCGTTATTTAATTAATAGTAAAATCAAGAATTCTTTTCGATACTTACGGAAAATCCCGTCGACCATTTTTGCCTGTAAAAAAAAAAAAGACGCCAAACTATGCCATTTTTCGCCAAAAATCGAAATTCTTCAAACACGCTGGGTTTGGTGTAACCTTTTTTTTTTTTTTTTTTTTTTTTTTTGCGAAAATGAAGAAATCGGTGATTTCGCGAAATTCGGAAGTGAAAAATTTCTGATTTTTTATTATTATTTGAGGCAAAAAAAAGTTTTTCGCGAGACTTATATTTTCTCGCGAAAATAAAAACCTATGGAAGATAATTACTTTTACAGTATAATAATAATAATAATCCTTAATAAAAAATGGACATTTTTAATGAAAAATTAAATATAAGTAAATGACAACATAATAAATTTGAAAGAAAAATAAGAACAATACAACGTTTTTTTACATTTGAAACAACAGAATAGTAGATTTGTTTCCAATCTAGAGAAATAAGCTTCCCAATAACAAAGATAACGCCTTCTTTTATTATTGCGAATTAAATAATGCTTAATTCTTTCTGGAATTTATTAGAGGAAATAAGTGCTTAAGATTTACTTTATAATTTTCAGTACAGACATTTTGAGTTTTTATGTATTTTTGCCTTGTAGCGAAGTGAGAACTGAATTAATTGAATGAGAAATACTGAATCGTCTGTGAAAAACTGTTTCTTTTTTTGTTTTTGTTTTGTTGTTGTTGTTCTTTACTTAATATCTTTTATACGTGTGTACTCCAACTGCGCTAATGAAAATATCCCCCGGGTCGAGCTATAGTCCTACTTCGCCAATCAAAATTTCTTCCTCCTGCTGCCTACAGGGTTACAATTTAACTTTTCGAAGCCAATTGTAGCCAAGAGGAAAATAAAAATAAATAAATAGAATTACATATCACAAGAACAAGTAAAAAATATCTTAGTTACTTGAATAACAGTAATAAATGCGAGAATTAACAAAGAAAATAAAAGGTATTGGTAAACATACATATTAGCATTACAAACATCTTTCATTTATTAAAATAATATCATAAATTAAATAATTATAAAGCATACAAATTATATTTTTAATAAATTACATCAATAATAGTCAAGATGTCTGAACTAGACTGGAAAATTTAATAGAGTTCACTAGCTTGCAAAAAATTATTCCATATCAAAGTGTGTTAAAGTGTGCTAAAAAGATTTTTTGTTAATTAAAGTAATCATGTAAATGTTTGCAGAAATTAAATTTAGTTAAATTAAAAAAAAGCTTAGCATAAAATCTATTATAACAACATTACTATGCATTTGGAACACTGACGTATAAATTTAAATTATTATGCTAAGAACTTTTTTCTAAAATTTATCTAGAAGAAAGGAATTAGATAAACAATACTGCAAATTAATATAATCAATCAGGCCTTTCAATAAATAAAAGTTAATTTTTTTAACCAAAAATTAAAAATTGGGATGCAAAATTTTGAGTAATATACTTGGAAATATCTGAACATATAATTAATTAGAAATGTATAATTAAATTAATACCAAGCTAATTAACAGTAACATTAAGCTTAATTTCATTCAATCTAAAACAAGCAATCGATCAGGAGCTCCGCATAACTGAATTAATGCTATTTTACGTAGATTTGCGTATAAAATAAAAGTTGCACTTGTGAAACAAGTGAATAATGTACTGATAGTCAACAGGAATTAAAATACAGTGGTTAAAAATATAACTACTTGTCAGAAGGTATGCAAAGTTGCCATGGCTAGAGAAATTGAATGATTATAGAAAACTCATAAAGTTAAGCGCTACAGTGTGAAAAGAAAATTCTGGAATAAACATGTTAAGAAAATTAGATGGAGAAATAATCCTTAATTTATTGATATCCATATAAACTCTATGCTTTTGGAAAAATGTTACATATAATTTGCACCGAGGTATCAATCACCGAAACCGAGTTAATTTCTTTCCTTATTTTTTCTTATTAGAGGGATTTGTAAAAAGATATGCTAAGGTAAAGGTGAAAATTTTTGCAATATTTTTAAAGAATAAATTAAAAAGTATTTTTACTTCATGAACTGAAATTTTTACGCTACATTTTTACACAGTAAATAAGTACAAAAAAAGAAAGAGCTGGGGGATCACTGGGACTAGAAACTCGGTCGAACTACCAATGTTTAGTGACTTTTCCGCTTGATCATAAGACCTTTTGAAATTAGGCTGAACAATATATTAAAGAAAATAGAAGATACAGCACACGTAAGAACAAAAAGGTGCTGAATTAGAGATTTAAATGTTTAATGTATCAGTTAAACTTAGATGTATGCCATTATGAAATATTAGGAATGTAGCATAAAAGCATGAGTGAAGAAGGCAATGGCAATCTAAGTCATTGTAATCTAAATGTATAACATTATCAGTATCTGCTATTAATTTCAATACTGCTGAAAAAATTATAAATGAATTATATTATAAATCACATGAACTCGTTGCATTATAAATTACAACAGTTAGAAATA